AACCACCCAATGGCGTCCGTTGGAACCCTAGCCTAGGGCTAGGCTCAGATCACTTGCTTTTGGCACTTGACATTGACTTCAAATCACAGAATTGTGGACTGCTCTCAGAGTTTGGCGGCGTGTGTGTGGTGCTGCATGCATGCTCGAGCCCCAGACCCTCCCTGCCCCGCGTGAATTTCACGCATCTCGTGGCAGGCAGTCCAAGTCCAAGCACAAAGAGGTTGGAACTGGCATCGAGATTGCGTTATGGATCGGATTTTTGGGCACGCAATGCCTGACACCCCACACTAGACATTGACAAGGACCTGGGGTAGTGCGAGCGGTTCGAAAGCCAGACCGAAAGGGCGAGTGTGAGAATGACCCAGTGCTTCGCTTCGATCAAGACGGGTTTCATTACCGGTCGAACCGCTCGAATACCGGCATGTCGTCCAGGGGGGCCTCGACCTCGACTGTCTGACCACCCTCGAGCAAATGCTCGCTTGCCTTCAGCGAGTCGGAGAACAATACGCGGGCCCACTTAGCGCCGGCCGGCAAGTAAACCTTGCGCGTCCTCGCTCCTGGGAACAAGATTGGACACACCAGATACCTGTGGCCGTACATGTACTCATCCTCGACCTCCCAGGCTTGGGCATCGGCCGGAAATTCGTAACAGAGCAATCGCATGATAGGGTCGCCCTGTTCGGAGGCAATCCTCATGATCTGCCTGGTGTAATCGCGAAGTGCTTCGCGGAGTAGAATATACTTCTTGAGAATCGGGTAGTTGGCTTCACCGTAGGACCAGACTTCGTTGTCCGCCCCAGATTGACAATAGTCAGGATCATTTCGAGCAACGCCGGGCTTGGGTTGACGCGGCTCGCGGTCTCCGTGGAGGCGCATGACGGGGCAAAAGGCGCCCCATTGGAACCAGCGAACCAAGAGCTCGCGGAAGTCTGCATCGTCCGGATCGCCACCGTGGAAGCCACCGATGTCGCTGTTCCACCAGGGAATCCCGGCAACAGAGACACTCAAGCCGGCGGCAAGCTGTCTCCGCATGACCAACCACGACGAAGCAATGTCGCCAGACCAAAGGAGGGCGCCGTAACGTTGTGCCCCTACCCAAGCACAGCGGATGAGGTTGACCACTCCATTCTGTCCTTCAGCTTGCTGACCTTCATAGAAGCAGCGAGCGTACGAGCGTGGGTACTCGTTACCAACTGCCGTCAAAGGCCCCTTGTGGTAGCGGAAGTGGTCAAAATCGTACTTCATATATTCCGGCTCGGCTTCATCGAGCCAGAACGCCTTGATGCCCAGGTCGAAGTAGTTCTTCCGAGCGATTGACCACACGTGCTCGCGAGCTTTCGGATTGGTAAAGTCCACGGTGGTGCAATCGCCGAGAAAATCGAAGGTAGTGCGTGCGCCACGTTCGGTGCGGATGAGATGGCCAAGTTCCTTGAAGGAATCGTAGTTCTCGCTGCGCTTGTCGACGGTAGGCCAGATGGAGACCATGAGCTCGATGCCCATGGACTTGAGCTCATCGACCATGGCTTTAGGGTCTGGCCAGTAGATCGGATCGAATCTCCAATCTCCCTGACGAGGCCAGTGGAAAAAGTCGCAGACAATCACATCGAGGGGAAGACCGAGCGACTTGTGCTGTCGAGCAACTGAGAGCAGCTGCTCCTGGGTCTCGTAGCGAAGCTTACACTGCCAGAAGCCGAGACCCCATTCGGGCATCATGGGAGTCTTGCCGACGACGTCCGAATACGCCCGCTGGATCTCGGATGGGGTCTCGCCTGCGACGATCCAGTAGTCAAGCACGTTTGTGCATCGTGCTTCGAAGGTGATGATGTTTTTGCCGAACGTAGCTCTGCCAACTGCAGGATTATTCCACAGGAAGCCGTAGCCACGACTGGACTGGAAGAAAGGCACACTAGCCTGCGAATTGCGATGAGCGAGCTCGAGATCGACCCCCATGAGGTCCAGATGATCATGTTGATACTGGCCCATACCGAAGATCTTCTCGTGTCTATCTTGCGTTTGGAAGCGTGCCGCCAAATGGTAGTCGCCGCCGGGAATGGGTACAAAGTCCCTGGCGTCAATGAGCAGAGCACTGCAATTAGGGTCGCAGGGATCATCGCGGTTTCGACTGTACTCCTCAAGGAGAACTTGGCCAGTTTTCGCATTGTAGATGGTGAGCTTGCCTCGCGAGGAGAGTGAGGCTCTGATCTGGCCGTTGATCAGGTCGGTAGTGCCCGACTTCATGCCTCCGCGCTGCGTCTTGACTTCCTTGATAGCTACCGAGCCGGCCTGAGGCTTGCTAAAGATGCCCCATGACTCCTCAGGAAAGTCAGGTAGGCGCGTGGATCTGACCCTTACGGCATTGGGCCCCCACGCTTCGACACGAAGGAGCTCGTGGTCGTAGCGGAAGACAAGAGCATGTTCCTCCGATTCGATCATGATGGAGATTTACGATCTCGGATGGCGAGTCAGCGCTTGCGCTCGGGATGGTGGACGTCCAGACCGAAGTCCGGCTTTCAGCCCTCCGGGATATATATAGTTTTGCCTCGCCTCCTGACTCGTGCGGCGCAAACGACTATGAGTCTGATTACCGCATCGTCGCCTACATCTCAGAGTCGCCGTCTCTAACCGAGAGGGCTGCAAAGATCGACCTTCGTTGAAGGCTGACGCACGGGCCAAGTGGGTAAGATGCCCGCAGACTGCGGATCTGACTGGAACCCCTCCGTCTCGTGCAGGCATGTCAGCAAAGCTCTGCTGGCAAAGGGAGCGAAAAGAGGAGATTCCCGGAAGATCTGGGGGAAGAAGGCAATCCCGCCACCGGCGACTTGTATCTCGCACATGAAGCTCCTGACCCCGCCGAGCACCCGCCACTGCGCAGGAACGCACGTCAAGTTGACCCTATCCCCTTTTGTCGACCCTCTTCCGGTGCTGTATCCGAACTGTGCAGATCGGTTACGCGAGTTGAAGAAGTGGGATCAAAGAATTTTTTATTTTTTTTTGGGCCTTTTTCAGATTCTGTGCCACGTTCGGCAATCTCCTATTTCCTGACCGCCACTTTCTTGCCTGAAATCGCGGAAAGGCCGAAGGAACATCGTTAGCTTGTGTAGATAAGCAGCAATGCCTTCAGTCGATCCGTGAACTGCAAAATGAACTTTGAACGCTCGTGATATCACGGGGGTGTCCGGGCTTACTCAGGAAAACCACCCTGTTCAGAACAGGTATGCTCTGCGCGGGGGGTCGTGTTCATCACGTCAAAAGTGGTTGCGACGCAACAGGCCCACTCCGCGAAGCGGCCTGACTCGCAAATACAATCCAGCTCATGCTACTGCTACCTCTGAGACGGAACGAGGCGCTGTATGGGAAGATCCTTTCATGCGACCTTTTCTTCCACACCATAATTCGATGATTTGGACACGGTCGCTATTGAAAAGCAAGAAGGCTATACCTGCACCGGGGCCACAAGAGGCGGAAGCACATCCGCATTCGTGTGGCCCGGTGCAAGGGTGACGATTCATGAAAGATCGCAAGTGAAAACGAAAAGACCAGGCATGCGGCAGTCGAAGGAGGAGGGGATTGCCGCGCGTCCGCACAGCAGGGAGCAGATGAAAGAACGGCGGGCGGGCGATGATTGAACTTGTCGTGCGGCTTCTACGCTCGAGCTCTACCTACTCGGCATAGAGGTCAATCGTGTAAGCGCTGTCATTGTTCATGCTGAGGTTGTAGAAAAGCTGGTTGTTGGAGACCGAGACAGAAGAGTTGAAGAGGAGAATGGGACCGTTGACGACACCAGCGTTGTTGTACGGAATCTCTTGGACCAGGGCGCGCAAGCTCTTTAGACCGCTAAATGCGGGGAAGCTGTTAATGTTCGAGACAGTGATCGGGTAGGGACCGTCCTGACCACGAGTGCCAGCCAAAATGTGCACCTGGCCGGCGCCACGGTCCTGAGTCACGTACAAGTCGTAGCAGGTTGATCCCGTGGCCCCGGCCAAGGTGATGAGACCCTTCTGTTTCTGCGTGTAGTAATTATTCACGTGCCAGTCTCCAGCCGTGTTGAAGGTCTGGTAATCGTTCGAAACAATGAGAAGACGGGCAAGATCGTCATGGAGACCTTGCTTGCTGCCCCAATTGGCACGCAAACCAGTGATTCCGGTGCGTTCGAATCGACCGAAGAACCATGCGGTGTACGCAGGCGTCTGTTCATCCGCGCCTGCGAACTCGTTGATTTGCACTGGACGATCCGGCAGCCCATACGCCCGCTTGATCTCGTTCAATTGGTCGTTGGACACGACAGGGTCGTTACCGCAATTGGGAGACCCACGGCCTGACAGCTGATGATAAGCGTAGATGTCAGGGATGACGTTGTTGGCTTTGACGTACGATGCCCAGTTCTGCCACCACGTGCTCTGAGAGTTTGCAGGTTCAGCAGTTGTGGGACCTTGCAAGGGAACGCTCGTTCCGAAAGCAGCTCGATACTTGTTGTGTGCATAGGCATACGCTTGCAGGAACTGATCCTGGCTGCGAGGCCAGAAATTGGAGCCGTCAGGTTCGTTCCAGATGTCGATGTGCAGGCCATTGAGCATGTCGTTCGACTTCAGGTCCGAGATAAGCATATCGAGGAAAGTTCCCCAGGCCGTGCAGTCGCCATTGTCGCAAGGATACGTGTTGGTCGAGGCCGTGGCCGCGTCCGCGCCCCAAAGATCGTGAGGCAGGAGGACAAATTGAGCGCCCCGAGCACTAGCATACTGGTAGTTCTGCAGAGTCGACTGGAAACGGTAGCGGTAGCCTGTGACGTTGCCACCATTGTAACCGCTGTACGGTGTCTGAGCACCCCCCGCGCGTTCAAAGTTGATGCCTGCGCCAGGAAAAAGGTTGGAAGGCAGCACAGGGGCTTTGTCGGGGCTGAAGGCGGGATCGTCCGGAAGACCATAGAGGATGCCAGCACCGAGATGTGCAGGGCTTGAACCGTACACCGACAGATCGACGTAACCCTTCCCGCCGAGACTGATGCCCTGTGCCAGACCAACCAGCCCAAGCACGAGAGCTCCTGTTGCCGATGAAAGCATACTTGTCTTACTTCTGATTAATTCTGACCACTTTGCGGTCGCCGTCGAAGTGTTTGGTCTTGGATCGGCCGTTGAGGAACAAATGAGCCTTCCTAAATAGTTTTGGGGCTTGGGGGGGACAAGGATTGCGGCAATCTCCACACGGAGTTGTCTACTGATGTGAGCGCCTGAGCTTAAGCCTTCTGGGGTAGCGGAGCACCGCTCACCTGAGCGTGGCCTCTCTAATGTCAATAAGGGAAGGCGGTCCTCGTTTAATCCGAATGTCAATCAGGGCCCGCCACGCATGACTGCAGTACTTGATGGCGAGATGGACAGCCGATGACATGAACGAAGGAACGAAGGACCGGGAACCCGAGAACCCTGTCACCCCGCATTCTTTCGACTGAATTGAAAAGGGTCTCCGCAATTACCGCGCTCTTGTGACCTGACTCGGCAATGTAACTCGGCTACCATGCGCATGACTAGCACCCGGTCGGGAAAGCAGATTCCCGAGACTAACGTGCCGGGAGACACAACAACGTCCACACAACAACGTCCCAGGTGCCCCGCCCCCTTTTCCTCCCCCCCTCC